ACCTCAAGAGCTGTCTGAACTCAAGTGCTAAACTACTGGTGTCGGTAGTAGCGTGGTGGTATGAAGAGGAGGTGTGAGGAGGACTAGGTAGAAGGATTGACAGCTTAGTGTTAGCTATGTTTAACTTGAGCTGACTGGTAGTTCATCAGAAATATTCTTTGAGAAAATGTCTAACATGAAATACAGTTGTAAATGGATACGGCAGATAAGGTTAAAATTTTAAATGTGATTAGGAAAGATGATCTTACAAGTGCACGCACATATTTCACTTTGCAATCTGAAGGAAATAAATGGTTCTGGTAAAACAGCTGTTAAGAGAAAGAATTGATTCAGCAATTCTATTTCCCACAAGTGCGTGGAGGAGCTTTAGGCTGTAGCTCTGTTCAAAGCCTGAGTAAGAGATACTGTATCACTGAGCATACCATTTAGGCAGATCTGGACATACTAGGCCTAAGCAAAGGAAATATAGTTGTAAAATTCACAGTTGAATGTGTTTCTCCTTATTTTCAACTCAGTTAAAGGAAAAAAAGTGCTTGTTCTGGTTAGTAAAACCTATTCACGGGACAGAAAATGTCTACTTGTGGAACACTTCTTGTGGCTTTGTACTTTTAGATAATGAGAAAATGTTTTTATATCAGTACGGCTGAATTTTGACTGGTTTCTTTTCTGCTGTAGACTTCATGCTTTCCTCTTATTCTTTCCTGAGACATTCATCCTGTCTGCTGGATTAGACAAGACTTGTATAAACAAAAGCAGGCAGTGGTTGTGTAATTAGAGTCCATCATAATGTAAATGTTTCCCCAGATTTAAGTCAGGTTATCTCAACCAGCTTCACTGGCATAGTCGACATTTATAATGCCCAAGTTTGCTACCTTGAGTGTTCATTGTTACCTATAATCCATCTTCTGGCTACTGCAAAAAGAGTTCAGTCCTTGAAGCAGACTTGCTTCCCTTTCTCTCCTTGGTGTTGCTCCACAAAAGTTCTCCTCAGAAGCTGTCACCTGAGGGGAGGGTGTAGTGATGTCTGCCAGCTTTAGTCATCAGACAAACTAAGCTGTCTCAGCCCAATGTGTATTTATGAGGTCAATACTTTGTCCTACTGCCTTTCTTGGATATTGCAAACTTTGTGTCTGCTGTGAATCCCTTAGATGTGATCTGCTGAATTCATTTGGCAAATCTGGAATTTGTGAGAAGACTTTGACTTTGTTCTTCCTTCTCCCCTTTGATGCAGTTCATTTCACTGGGCTCCTTTTAGGGAAATCCAGCTACTCCATGGGGGGTGGCTTTAGACAGCAACTGGGAGTTGGCCATGTCCCCTGTCACACCGTTATTTTTACGGACACCCTTGAGTACTGGCTATTCTGTTGAAACAAATAATATGTTATCCAGAAATTCAGGCAATTTTTTTTTCTGTTTATAAAGCATATAAAACAAATAAAGTGGCCTCTATTGTTCTGAACTTGAAAGGAAATTATGTGCTGAAATTAGCAACTTTTAAGTTCTCGTGTTTTGAATACTACCATGTAAAATAGAAAAGGCAATTTTGTGGGCTAATATATTCCCTGAAGTACAACTTCCAAATCTGTTTGTGACTTAGAGCACTTTTTGATAACCTGCTTTACAGCAAAGGTATTTCTAACTGTAGAAGGACTGTCTAAGAATTTTTTTTTCTTGGAGATAACTCAGGAAACTGTGTGCCTCTCTGTTCTCCCTAGCATGGTCTCTAAACTTGGAATTATCCTCAGATTAAATGAGAAACCAAACCAAAAGTTAGAGCTAAAAACAGTCAGTTGAGCTAGTACTAATTACTAATGTCTCAGTTTCCTTCAGTGTTACTCCTCTTGATTTTTTTGATGGGGTATAAGTACATAATGTCTTGAATCGATGTGATCACTGCCATCAAAAACAAAATGACAGCTATTTTGACTACACTATGTAGACTTAATCTCAAAGGTCATATGTGATAATGTTCTGTTTGTTCCTTATTTTTCCACTTTCTGTAGTTGATCTCTGTATGCCTGTGCTCATGTTCTGAATAATTGCAGAGTGCACAAGCAAATCTTCGTGATGAAATAGTTGACTATTTCATTAATGTAGGCCTCTTTCTTAGAGAAGATGACATCAAAACAGACTGAAGATCTTTCACAAAATGCTCACTGTAATGAATCCTAGTTATTCTGTTTGTTCCTGTCTCCTGACAAGCCAGAATAACTCACTAGAAACAGCCATATATTTAGTTATAAACAACTTTTGCCTCTACGTGACCTCCTGCTCAACAGGAGCACAATGGTTGCACAAGACAAACCAGTTCTGTTGTAAGATGACTAAGCTCCATAAGTTTATCTTTGATGTACATAACTCTTGGAGTAAGTTGAGTTCCATAGTAGTTGTGGGGGTTCTTTCTGCATATGTAACCAACTTGTTAACTCTATATCTGCTGGATTAAAGCATAATGAAAACAAGCTTCTTTAAAATTGTGATTTTTTTTTTCAGATTGAGGCAATGACATCAACAGGAAAAAAAAATTATTGCTGCAGAAGACTATAAATGAGTGTAATCTATTAACTGCTTAACATCATGGTGCATGCTAATGTATTTTTAATTATGTAGTGTATGGAAATAAGCACTTTCAGTATCTAATTAAAGTGATATGAGGACCGTTTAGTGTGGGTATAGTTCTGGAAGTTCTAGCAGAATAGCTGAGAGATTGAAGAAAAATCATCTCATGCTTGCTTATGTAATAATAGGAAAAGTGGCTGTAGTGGTCCTTTAACATCTACAGACAGGTTTTACAAACCTGATGTTCCCAGGGACAAAAGCCTAGAGTATGCTGCAGATCTTTTTGCCTCTTGCTTGTAAAGAATCCAAGTGTGACCTTCTTGAACAAGCTGGAGGTTTCCCTCATGCTTTATTTTGAGTAGGTCAAGCTAAATCTTTTTGGTGAAAATGTAGTTGTAGTGGCATTTAAAATTTTCAGCAGTGTAAAACAACCTCTGAGGGAAGGTGGAGACACAGAATGTTTCACAACTGTTTTATACAGTGCCCGTGTTTTGTTTTTTTCTGCTGCGGTTCAGAGATCTGCTTGTTGGCAATTTATGAAAATACAGGATTTCTGCATTCTATTATTCAGAGAAGGAAGGAGGGTTAGGTTTTTGAGTTTGTTTAAGTTCAGACATGAGTGAGCTTTTAAGAATGTAAAATGAAGAAATGCTACTGCTTAGGAAAATTCCTGAGATAATCCACAGGGAAAACTCCTACAAAAAACAATTTAAGTATTTTAAACTAGTTGCTTGAGTACTACCAGGTGTTGTGTCATCTGTCCTGTCCCCCAGTTTCCCTCTCTCCTAATTCCCTTGTCCCCTGAAACTAAAGAACAAACTCTCTGGGTTATAATTCAGGACTATTTCTTACATTACTGGTGTGCCTAGTCTTTGGGCTGGGGTAACTAGCTGGTGTTAGATAGCCCTGTATCTTATAGGGGCATCCCTGCAGTTTTTATGCCACATCTCCAATTGTGCTACCCTTCTTTCCTGCTCCATGCATGAAGCCTTTTAACTTCTCCTTTCAGAGAGTGCTCTCCAAACAATTTACTTAATTTCTGACACTGAGAAATGTTCTGTGAGTTGGGACCCCTTCAGCCACAGTGAATAATTCATTAAGAAATCACAAACTAAAATAGTTTGCACAGATTGCCAAGCAATTGTACTTTTCAACAACTTCAATGGAAATTGGGCTATAATTGGCAGATGGGCGTTTGGCACATCTCTGGAGCTTTTCTGTACGGATAGTTTAGCTCAGAGTTATAAGGAAAAGAACTGTTTCTCTATAACTGGATTGTTACACTTCGACAAATAAGTGGAGGTTTCAAAGAACACCATGTTTCTAGTCCTATCACTTCTAATGTTAATTTTCTTCTTTTAAAGTCTAGGGATTCCATCAAGCTGGATGACCTGAAGGCGGAGGTATCACCACGGATTTCAGCAGAAGATCTGATTGACTTGTGCGAGTTGACAGGACCTAGTCATTCCAAAACACCTGTAAAGAAGACAAAGTCTAGCAAGCCAAAGCTGCTGGTAGTGGACATTCGTAACAGTGAAGAGTATCCTTCAAATCTGAGTGCCAGCCTTGTCAAATCATGCATGTATCAAACTACTTCCTCATTGTCTGCTGGCAGTGAGATGTTAGAATGGTAAATAATGGAAAGGGATGTGCTAGAGGTACAGTGGAAGGACTGAAGGCAGAATTATGTTTGTTTGTTTTTTGTCATGGACAGGCCCATTTTGCAGAGAAGAAGACAAAAGTATTTTTGCCCTCCCATTTTAAGCTGTGGGTCTAGTGAAACTGCTTTGTATCAGTAGCACAAGTGCTTTAATGCTACTTTTTTATGACTCAGCAGACCTTCCACACTTAATATGACCCATAGTTTGGAAGCATACAAGGCTTTCCAATTGAGTGGTAGGGAAATAGAGAAGAGTTGATAGCTCATGTTCTTTGCCTGCCCCTCAATGGAAAAGCAATTCCTATTAAGTGCCACCTTCCTACTGTCAGGTAATGCAGCCATATGGCTGCTCTAACTTATGTCCTCTGGTTAGCTTAGAATCAGAAAAGTCTTAAAGGTATCTTGAAGCTGTATTTTTGTCAGGGAAGTTACCCTGTCTATGCCTTACTCATTTGTTCTTCTTCAAATACATAGTTCTTTGCATGTGGAGTATTTTTTTCAGTTGGCTTTTCTGAAGTAGTGTAGTTATGGGGCTGCCTTTGAGTTTTAGAAGGGGGAGTCCTTCTTACAGATGTGCTTTGCCAGAAACACACATCTTTGTCAGCATCCATCTAACAGTGGGAGAATAATAAGATTTTATTAGAGGTAACTCTGAATGTTATACCACCTATTTGAGAATATACTTGTTATTGGTTTTATCTTTTTAAGTATTGCTTCTTTCATAACGGCAGAGGTGAGGCAGATAGTTGTTTTATGTGGTAGATGTACTCTTAGTTTGCTGTGTCACAAGCTGTCATTCCTAATAGGCAAACAATACTCAACAGAAAAATAATGCTAGACTAAAACTCATGATTCTTCTCTTTGAAAAATATGGTGAAGTAGAAAAATAAATGTTTCACTACGTAGAGGCAAATTTATTATTTGCATAGTAAATAATAGTATAGTTGAGCTATTCTAAATTAAAACTTATTTACTAGGAATTGCAATTTTTTTTGTATGCCAGACTTGAACCTCTAATGTAATCTGCTGTGTAGGTAAAACAGAATTGTTAAATGAACACAAAAAAAGTATTTTTTCTTTTGCTTGCATGTATTCATTTAATGCATTATTTAAGGATTCCAATTAAGTAGAGATTCATGTGTCTGAGTAGTTAGACTTTATTTTCTGGACTCAGCAACTTCTTTACTCTTGGATCTAGGTTGCTGAAAATGTGGTCCTCCTTGTTCAGAAAACAGTAAAAATGTAGGCTATTTTGTGAGAGATAATTTCTTCATCAGGAGATAATACTCTTGAGCTACAGTTTAACCTACAA